TACATTTTCAGCAAATTTTAATTTATTGGGTGAACTATTTTTTAAAAGGATATTTCATCCAAAAAGGAAAACGCTTTCATCATTTACTCACTCTCATGTTGTCACAAAGCTGTCCTTCAAATTCATATTTGGTGTTCTTCAGATAAAAAAAGCTTTGGAATGACATGAGGGGAGTAAATAAATACAGGATTTGAACTTTTGGGCAAAATATAATTTTAATATACTGCATGATTATATTATAATGTCCAGTACTATTTTAGATGTTATATTCTAATCTGTATAATATTCAGTAATATTAGAAAGATCAGACTATTGACTATCGTTTGCATTTCAGTTCAGTAACTTTGGGAGGAAAGAGAAGACAATGGAAGTAGAAAAATGTTAAGAAACAGGTTTGTCTGGGAGACTGTCTAGACGTAAGCATGACAAATTCTGGGTTTATTCCCTTGAAGATGCTCCCATTACACACGTCTCATAGAAACAATGGATGAGTTAGTTCAGCTCAAAAATACATTTTTAGAAAGGGCCTCTTGAATCAGAAATTTTTCATACACTTTTGACATATATCACAGAGCCAGCTGTTTTCTTTTTCTTTCTTCATCAAGACAACATGAAAGGGAATAAGTTAATACTGACTCAGCCATCTGACTTGACATTTGGTAGACCTGTAACGGGATCGTTCACCCAAAAATTTTAATTCTGTTATTTATTCACCCTCATGTCATTCCAAATACATTTGGTTTCTCATTTCCATGCTGTTGCAATGAATGGGGGACTGACATTTTGCAAAAGCATCAAATAAGATGTCAAGAAGACATTTCAATATTCATTCATCACACAAAGCTAACTTCAGAAAATGTGGAACATGCATAATACATGACAGGTTTATTATAATTAACTGAAACCTAAAAATAAACAAAAAATAAATACTATAATTAATTACATGAAATGAAAATAAAAAAAAACAAACAAACAAAAACAAAACTATAATAGCATCTCAGTCATATTAAAATAACACTGGTATATTTACGGTGCTTTTCATCCTTTTTGAAGTTTGAAAGCTTCCATTGTAATTGCATGGAAAAGATACACCATTTTTTTTAACTTTCAGTTTTTCTTGTGTTAAACAGAATGGGTTTGAGGGTGAGAAAACAACAGAATTAAATTTTTGAGTACGAATTTTTACTTCATATCTTTACGTTGATAGCGAGAAGGCTCATATCACTAAAAAAAAAAAAATTGGATCACCAATTATTCCTACTCACTACACATACAAAGTTGTAGATCAAGAACCAGGATGAACAAAGACAATCATGAAAAAGTAATTGCAGGATGAACTAAACAATTCTAAACAAGTAATTATATATGATTCTGGCTCACTGTTTTCCGTGTTTGAGCAACAACATCACACTGTGTAACGTGTCATTTTATATATTAGGTTCCATTTATAGACTCAAACATAGAAGAAAAATATTAAACCAACATTACAAATAAACAATCCCTTACAAAACTATGGCTGTATATTGTTAGATGAATGCAATAAGGATTTGTATTTGGTAAGGAGTTATCAGTCAAAGCTTTGCATTTAAATGACCAGTCTGTTGAACCAGTTCAGTCAAAAGGACACTGCCAGCAGAACTAGTCGATGTATTGTTTACAGGCCTAAAGTTCAGATCTAATAAACACTACTTTTCAAAAGTTTGGGATTTTAAGTTTCTTGTGCTCACCAAGGCTGCATTTATTTGATCAAAAATACAGTA